TTCTTCTCTTCTCCCTCCTATAATCTTCCACCCCGGCGCTCTCTACAAAGTAAGCTACGCTGTCTTCTCAACAATGGGGATCCCTTTGTTTGTTCTGTTTCGCAGGTTTGTTAGTTTTGGATAGTTACTGTCGTTGCTATTTAAGTATACAAGGATTTCCAAAACCAGACTTACAACTCTCAATTGTTAACGGGCAATGTTGAGTATCCATGGGAAACTTTCTTAGATCCATAGGACAGGCTGCTTTTATCGTCAGCCTGCAAAGATAAATAAAGTCAGCCAAAATACTGCCTTTTTTTTTAACTCTAAACTACAACTACGTCTAACACCCACAAACATTTTCAACATTGCTTGTGTCTTCGATCGCTGACAATTTCTGTGCTGCTTACTTCATGGAGCATCTTACTTCAGGCTCAGCTGGGGTCACAATCCTTACTCAGGTTTTTATTCCCCGCCCCTCCCTCCTCAATAAAGATCATTCTTTTGACCATTCTTATGGCTAAACATTCCTCTCAGCTTGGTCACCACGTGACTATTACCTAGCGTTGTAGTAAACCATCCCTCCTGGTTTGATCATAATCATCACATTGTCCGTGGTGACTTTATGGAAAGAGCCTTGCTTGGCGTTCACAAAATACGAGTCTGGCATCCAGATACGGTCTAACACAAAGTTGCTAAGAAACATGGTTTGATTGAGGCCGTGGTCAAGTCGCTCGTCTCGCCACGCTTGACGCAAAAAGATGTCCAGCGAAAAGTCCTGTTTAGAAATCAAAAGCCAATGAAGGCTCTTAGTTCGCCCTACCAGAGAGAATTGCGTACTACGCATATACGGTACTATATAGATGATAAGTAAAGGAAATGTTGTAAATGGATACTTGAAGCCAGTAGCATTCACCTTTAGTGCTCCTGATGTAGCTCATACAGGTTTCGCCTACTTATACAAAATAAATTAAGGCAGGTCATAAAGGATTCCTTTGCGCTATCGTACTGCAGAACTTTCCTTGTGTAATCTATGTATTCAAATATGTCCTGGCTGTCAACCACGACATAAGGCAATGAGAACACTTATTTACGGTTGATAACTTACCATATCCATCACATTAATTGCATCAATTGAAAGAACCCAGAAGCCTACAGTCACATCTACAGGCCCACCTGTCAATCAATTATTTCATTAATCAATTAGGCTGTCGACTCTATCCACAGGGGAAGCTGGCTCATTACAAACTGTTCCTCAGGGAAGGATTCTAATAAATTTAAGCGGTAAAGTTTAATATACTTCTTTTTATAATAGTCAGAATATCTATCTACGAAACGAGAAGAGGAGGAACGCTATCAAATATACTTACCGTTATAATGGGGTCTTAACCGCGAGTCGTAGTTTCCCTTCATTAATAGTCTGTCAAGAATTTCAGACACAGTCTTGTTTCTTGAACTGCTGTTGAAGAGAAGTAATATCAGCGTGGTTTGCGGTTTTGGGACAATTTCCAAAGAGCTAATTTCTTTCTGTACTGTTTAGCTATAGATCACAGGTGACCACAATAGCTGATAATAAAAAAGCAATTTACACATAGTTCTGTATATCATTCCCACGCACTTGTCCGTCCTGTTTCATTGGTTGGTTTGGGTGTCTCTAACCTCCACAGAACCGGAGCCTGACATCGTAAAGATTCTAACGGAAAATTGTTATCGTAAAAAACATTCTTAGTGTCTTCAGAGCAATGGATAAAAGAGGAAAAGTTTCTGAGGAAACTGTGGTGCTGCGTCTGCGGGGAGTATACGTTGAATAAGATAGTTTGGTTTCATCAACTGAGTTGATAACGTGAATTGGCCTCCTTGAAGAGTTAATAAGCTGACGTTTCGAGCGTTAGCCCTTCGTCTTTGATAAAAACAAATCATCTGTTCAGAGCAATGATTAGTGATAGCTGAAATTCCAAACTTAAGATACGAGGATATGAATAATAAAAATACGAGTGAATTCAGTCCTTATAAAATCAAAATTGTACTTATCAAAAGCGTTTGTTGCGTAAGCAACTACAATAGAGGAGTTTTTTTGTGAGCCTTAACGCAATAAACGAGAACGATACACTGCTACAGTCGATTAACTAAGGACTTTCTCAGTGCAACTACTCCGCATATTCTGCAGTTAGATTCGATTCTGGAACAATATGGTGAAGCAGGTGTTTGAAAATTTTATACTTAATAAAAAGGGGCAAACAAGATGCATTATAATCTTGATTAGTGCGAAGAACGTATTGCGGTAGATTCCGTGTACTAAGAGGTCACCATACCAGATTCAAATGAGGGACACAATTTTTTTCATACCATTCAAAGTCTACTTCAGACCAAACAAATGAGCCACATGTTCAAAATTTAAATCAAATTAGAGGTAAATATTAAGTACTCCGGCTTTCTCGATGATGAAAATTACAGTCAAGCTAAACGTAAAAACAAAAATTTCGGGCCATGAGTGAGAATACCCTTTTTGATGTATCACCACAGAGCTATCCGTATTTATCTTGACCACCTTGGCATTACACGAGAAAATGATAAACACACCAACCGATAAAACTCGTTTATGAGAACTCGTCTTGGTTTTGCGAGAATGACTTTACATGGAACAATATATCTGAAAGACTGCTGTAGCGTATTCTTTGAAAGAATTTTTTTTTGGAAAAATCGTCAAAATAAATGTGCTAAATTCAAACGAATAACCTACCTGGCTCCAGCCATGTAGAGAAATTCACAGAGAAGAGCCACCAGAGAGAGTTTTCTAAGGATTCCCATTGTGAGCTAAAATATTGACAAAAACGATTTAGAGGTTGACAAATTGTAGCATTTTTGTTAAAAAAATTTCGAGGGGCTTCTAATGCTTTAATTGTGAAGAAATCACTATTAATAAAATACTGTCGTACGTAGGGTAAATAAAAATACCAAGGCCAATGAGAAAGCGAGTTCCCTGAGTACAATAACAGCGATGAATTATTGATGTAAAGGAAAATTTGCACGTTGTGTTAGTAGACAAATCAACACATTACTTGGTTTAAGCACACAATAGCAATTTAAAGTTGAATCATCTTAGTATTTTAAAATTAAATTCTTGGTAAAAGACAGGGAGGATGAAAGACACAAAGGAACCTCAGACCAGAAATTTCTTCTGTTTGGATACTCTCTTTGAGAGAGATGTTTTGCTCAATTCAATAAAATAACATGAATAATTGACTCTCTTTACATGAGATCCCGAGTTTAAAGATATCATGCTAGAAATCTAGCTGAAATAAATCTTAATTATCGCCTCGGCCTCAACGGAGCAATCATTTTAATTTCTGCTTTCAAATATCTGATGTCATAATTGCAACGCTTATTTACTCATATCTCTTCGCTGTCTTATCGAAAGTTCATTCTTTGAATGGTGCTCTTGGCGGGAAACATCAAACATAACCAAAAAATAAAAACATTTGAAGCGAAATCAGTAGGTAACCGATTTGCATACCGTGTGTACCTGTTTTAGTTTCAGCGGGAGTACTTCTATTGCAGTAATTATGTTTTTCCAAGCGCCAAGGCAAGAATGCTACCGCAGTTATTGGAGAGACGACTTTAACGTCTTAGACAACTTTAACGTCTCTAGCATAAAAACGGCCATTGTAACACAACAGTTCCACAGCATCCTAACCAATTAATTATCAACCGCTTCTTTGCCTGATTTTACAATTATTTTTAATTATCGTTTTGCTTATACCGAGGAAAAACAACAACAACAACAACAACAAGACATCATCCAAGCTTTTAAGATCCCACACGTTCATTCACGTCAACAAAAATTCAGATTCGAAATATAGTACTTTATACCAATTTGTAGAAATGTTGACTAAAAGGCGCGCTTGAAAAAAAAGAGATAGAAAGAAGCGAAAAAAGATTAGAGAAACCAGCAAGTGTTACTAAATTTTTTTACAGCGCACCCTTTCAACTTAAATCACGAAATCATTTTATCATCACAGCCGCATCCCACATGTGAATGTTTGTTCTTCAGGCATGCACCAGAATTATGATTGGATAATTGATAAAGGTTCCGATGGTCATTTAGTTAATTTTATCCTGCCCTGTTGAGACTGTCTTTTGATCGTCCATGCAGATGGAATTGTGCCCACACAATTGCAAAAACTACTGTTATTGGCTCCCTCGCTAATTTAATTATATCCAAAATTTAAAACTAGACTCATACACATTCGACAGTGTATGCAAGCTAGCTGATCACAATTACAATATAATTCATATCACTCGATAATCATTTCCTTGACGAAAACATACGCCCGTATCACGATAGAAAGATTAACCTTCTTTTTCATCGCATTCGTACCTGTACAGAGCGGCAACGGTCCGAAGTTTTTACAACTGAAGTACTGTACTTTTCACCTCTCTTAAGCGGTCACCTCTACTCAGTGGTCTTTATCCATGATGGTAGTATTGTTGACGCGTTTCGTACATTAAGTGGTCGATTATGGAATAAAATCACGTTTTTTTTATCGTTCCTTTGTAATTTCTTTATTCTGTGGAACCTGTATGAAGCGGTCATTCCCCGTGGGTGTCCGCTAAATACAGGTTTTGACCGTATCAACCTTAATCTTGTTCCCTTGAGCACTGGCAAAGTTGGCTTTCAATCGCTTGCTATGAGTGTACCGGTGAGACTCTGCACACCCACTCCCACAGGCAACCAATTCGCCAACACCAACGTAATATGTCATTATGGCCCTCACGAATCGCGGGGTCTCACATAATTTTTTATCTTATCTCAAAATCTTGTTCAGCCTTTTCAAGGAGTCTTAAAAACCTGCATTTCTATTGAAGGTGTCGAAGTTTGGATCTCGTCCTTTTAATCAATCGACATTTGAGGTTTACTTTAAAATATTGTTTTTAACTTCGAAGTAATTAATGACTATTTAGACATCCAAGTTCGAGCTTTTAAATACAGTATGATTCGTTAATATACGTATCTACCCGCACATTTAACTTTCAGTCTCCAGATCCCGTAAAGGAAATAAAGATAACTAAGAAGTATAGTTGCGATTTATCAGCTGAGGGCCAGTTTTGCCGGCAAGATTTAACATAAACATACCACTTGGCACCTTAAACTTGTTCCCCACTGAAACACCAGACCTGAGACCTTTGTCGCTTTTTGCCAAAGGCTTTCGTACTTGTAAATATTAATAAGCCAAACGAGTTCAATTTTGTCACTATTGCCTTTGGTTAATTCATCTGAAAGTCGTAAGGTCACAAACTGTAAACGCTGAAAAAATATACAGTAAAGGTAATAAAAAACGGGAAAAATACTTCACCTTTACTAAGGGATTATTAAGCTACCGAAGTAATTTCCTTCGCAGTTAGCGATCGCTTCTAAAATTAAGATCAGAACTTATGATCGAGGAGCCTGTGATTTCTATTGACATGCTGGGCATATGTTCGTCTATTATCTCTTTCCCACGCATTGCTTCTCGTAGCGACATTGTTCTCGAAATTCTCCGCGTAGCACTGAGAATTTGAAAGTACTCAGTGGATCAAAACTCACGTGGATTTTAAATTTTTCATGCGGCGATCATAGCGGCGTTTAAATCACCACAAACAAAAAAGTTAAATTTATTTACTACTTCATTCATTTATATATTTATTTAAATACTTGTTTATTCGTTTAGTGATTTCAAAGTTGGAAATTAAAAAGGGTTTTTGAATTAGAGGTAGCTTAATGAGTGAATAATTCACGAAATTTACCGCCAGATCCGTTTAGAGTTATAAATAATTGAGCACCATAATAACCCTCTCCTGAAATTCATAAAATTCTCTTTTTTAAATACAATATCTTGCATTTCGCTAATAGTTTCTGAAAATGTCAACGCAATTCAGAGTCGCTTGAGGAAAATTATTACATATTCATAAATTCATTTCCTATTCTACAAAGCCATACTTTCTCTGTTCAATAAGGCTGTGCAGCTAACAAAACAACCTTTTTAGAAATTACCATCCCAATATGTAGTTGCGTTTTCCATTTTAAAAGGTTTCACAGTTGTAAGATTTGAAAAACGACATTTTGTCGCAAGCAAATTTTGTTTCGTCGTACTTTTTAAGTCAACTGCTTAGCTTTGCAAATATAAGGAATCCAAAAGCGAGCTCGGTAAAGTACTTCAACTTTAAAAATTCAGTTAAAGGTCAAAAGTTAAAAAGCATTCAGTTAAATAATTGATGAAAAAATATGTTTTTCTCTCCTCTGCTTGTTACGAATGTATAGGATTATAAAAGCATCTGTGTCGATGTTTTCATCATAGCGATTTTCTTTTCTCTGCATATGCCTTGCGAAATTAATTTGATACGTAACAATACATTTTGCAAAGATTTTGTGCATTTTCCAGTGAAGAAAGAAAACATTAATACCTTTTAAAAAGAGAAAGGACCGTTTATAAATCTCTATATGGTAATGGGGGTCTCACCGAACGAACTCAAATGACGCACCAAAAAGTTTCCATCTTTGTTATTTTGTCTACTTGAGGAAACCATACGTTGTTTATTCTTTCAGATCCTTTACGAATTCAGACAGGATAGCTTCAATATAAGATCATGGACAACCTCCCAGCTCGAGTCCTTTTATGATTAGCTATGCTTAAACCTATTCCATACCTACTGGATGCAATTGAGATAAAACAAAAAGTTCAAGAATGGATTATGACCTAAATAGAATTGTCAAGGAAATTTAAGGTGATCTCACGATGATCGTTTGATAAACTTCCGCCGGGTTATTTGGTCGTCTCTAATGGCATCGTTCCAGGAGCTACTGAGCAAATTTAATTCTAGTGATCTGTATACTATCAGGCGCCAAGACGTAATGAAAACAGTTTTTAAGGCAATTCAGTTTGAAACGATGCCGAAGTACATACGTGGTCTTTTTCAAATGACAAATACTGAACGCAACCTTACGAGGATCAAGGAAACTTGTTATCCCATACGTTAACACAACCACGTATAGTCTTCATTCCTCCAGATACACTTCTGCAAACATATGGAACAAACTAACAGAGGACCTAAGGTCAATAACGTCCTTGAATGAGTTCAGAACTAAAATATGCCAAATTTCTTTCGAACATCAATGCAATTGTAACTTATGTAGATAGTAGTTAATGTACTGTATATAATATACGATTTTATTTTTATTTATTTATTTTCTGTTTTTTTCTTTCTCGGAGAAGTTAGCTGTACAGCTACTCTTGTAAATCCGAGGTGAAATAAAGGTGATGTAATGTAAAATGGTGCCAAGCACGTTCTTAATGTTTTTGTTTTCTCCCATGGCGGGGGCTTTACTTCGTGCTACTCTTATTTTCACTAGAAAGGAGAAACTTTATTCCATTTTTTACCACATTTAGCATAACGACGATGAGGTTACAAATTTTTAATAACCGCAACTAATATAGCTTAATCCATCTGCGAGAAATATGTTTAAGATTTCAAAATTTAAAGCTGAATCCTAATTCAAGGCAAAAACCCTAGTTTGTTTTTAAAGGGATGTCAATGTAAGCTGCGACTTTTGGTTTCCAACGGCCGTTATCGAATCAAAACAGTTAAGCCGTGGTTATAATAACACCGTTCCGAGTAATGCGTTATGGAATTTCAAACATGAATTCTGTTAACTCACCTGTTTGTAACCCAGCGCTGGGCGCCATTTTTGGGTAAGGATACCCCCCATTTTTTGGTCAAGAATATTGTAGCGTCGTTACATAGTTTAACAGATCGAGTTAGTTTCGCTGCAAAGTACGCGATCAGGATGCATACGAAATTAAAAGTTTGACAACTCTAGAGCCCCCTTTGTGGACTTCTTTTTGTACTTTCAGCTCTCTGAAAACTGACTGCTGTGCTATTTGTTCTCCTAAACAATGGGGAACGCATATGTCTTGTAAATAAGATCTGTTAGAACAAGAGGCTAATGTGATTGCACTTTCGCCATAAAAAAACACTCGATACCTCTTACGGCTTTACTGATCGTACTTTTCTTTGGTCTTTATTAGCATAGAAGTTATGATACGCGTCATCGACACATCAGTAATCTAATTAATCTGGCTAATCAGTGGCACAAGAGTTTATAATCATTATATGGACAGGGGTGATTTTTAAAGAAACCCCAGGTGGACTAGACAATTGCGACGTCAAGCAGAGAAATCACAAAACATTATTACACAACGCCAGCATAACATCACAAATTAAAGAAAAACAAAGTAATTTAGGAAAGCGTTTAATTTGATTAAGGCTCTCGGAAAATTGGCTTTTGTTCTTCCTTACTACTGCTTGACACTTGTTAAAGCATCTTTAATCTCGAGTTATTGAAATTAGCAATGGTGATAAGACTGAGTGGAATCCAGTTCAGTCTAAAATCATAGGAGTAATAACAAAATCGGACGAACGCGCAGCGGGAGTCCGATTTGTTTATCTCGAGTATGATTGCAGACCGAATTGGACGACACCAAGTCTCATTGCCAATAAGTCATAAAAATTACACTTTACGAAGTACTGGTATTGTTCAAGGGAAACAAATTCTCCATTTTGAAGAAAATCTCAATTTAGGAGTCTGTACACTGTTTCTATGGTGATTGAAACCAAGGTTGTGATTTGTTGATTTAAACAACAACTTTGAATGTGATTGGTATATTTAAACTATAACTTTGTATGTGATTGGTTGATTTAAACTACAGCTTTAAATATGACGAGCTTATTGAACTGTCCCATAACAAACTGTCCGATAACAACTTGGCAAGTTAATCAGGGGGAAATATGAGTTTTTTTAACCAATCGCAATCGAGGAAACTTTAATTTTTATGATTATGAGATTTACACTGTGATAAGTGATCAGAACAAAGTTCTTGAACGTCTCCTGTATTTTTGTCTGTCTGTTTAATCAGCAGGGGACGTAAAGAACCCAACACTTCTTACATAGAGTAGGGAATGTAGCCTCCGGTGATGTGGCCTGGATTTGTCTGTGAAATTGGGAGCGTCTGCAAACATGTGATCGGTCAGTTTCGATCCCTCGTTTAAGTTCTTTGTAGATACGGTTTTTTACATTGGCTCTTTTGCATGAGCTGGCTTAACAGTGTCCAATTAAATATAATCCATCCAGTAGCAAGCATTATACACGGCAAAAGCAAGAGGAAAAAGTCTGAAGGAATACTCATCAATGCTCAAAATAAACGTATCTGTAAGAATCCTTGCTTCGACTTGTTTAACAAATGTTTTACAGTGCATCTGTGATTTATTGCAGGGAAGGAGAGCACCAACATCAGCATCTCTGAAAGTAGCCAAGGTGTACCCTGAAGAGTATTCGCTTGTAGCTTTCTTCAAACTACCATGAGAAAAATTGAGGTTATTCTCCTTTGTGTTGAGTAGAGTGCCATTCCTTATCCAGTCCTTCGCTTCCACATGGTCACATTTCTCATCGTTTTTCTGCTAGGATACATGAATAAATTATATTGGCTCAACAGGACGTACAGCATAAGTAATACGACAGAGTAGAACCAACAGCAGTCTATAACATAAGTGATCAATAAAAACGGCGGCTGTAAAGTGACAGAGATTCCTTTTTTTTCTCCAGCTCAGTACTAATTATTGGTCAAACTATTTTAATTTGAAGCAGCCTTTGGTTAGAAGTACTTTTGATTAAAGCTATGTACTCGTGAATAAAGTTACTTTAATTTGAAGGAGCCTTTGGGTAGAGGTGCTCGTGAATAAAGTTATGGTTGGCTGTTGTTCTTTGAACTGAGCCATACGAGAAATGTTCTATGTGACCATGCTAAGAATGAAAAAATTGATAGTTGTATTTATCTACTTTGGTTTCAAGGCTACCAATTTTTCTGTTTCACAATCTAATGTCTTTTATGGTTTTAGTTGCTTTTGTTGTCGTTTTCCATTTCTCTTAAAGACGAAATACCCTGGCATGGTGCAGAAAAGTGTCCTGTGGAAAACTAACGTGAACTTCTGCTTTACTAGTCAGTTTATTTTTTATTAATTTATTTACTTTACCTGTTTTCTGGCAGTATTACGGAACTTGATACTCCTCTGCTTTTGCTTTGCTTTCAACAACAACACGACACAGTACTCGATGAGGGTCAAAAACACGAACACAAAACAACCAATTAGATACTTGTCGCTTGATTTGACGTAACTCACCTGTAACAAGTGGAACAAACAAACTCATTACTACTCCAACATAGCAATCCTCTGATTTCAACGTTACGCCGCAAAATAAAGCAAAACTGATGCAATCGTTAATTAATTCCGATACTTTACCAGACGTGTACCTTTGGCATAGAGTTGTTCATCATGTTCAAAATGGTGACCTCCGTCAATAACGACGTAATGCCAAGAGCAACTCGGGCAGCGGTTTGCTCAAAAGGAACAACAAACCCAATCCACGATATAGCCACAATTACAGAACTCGTGCCATATATGTGACTTAAAAAGTAGCTGTAGGAACGTTTGAAGGTAAATGTCGCACATACACCCGAGAAATTTCCTGATAACAAAGACAAAGAGAACACTGCAATATTTGTAAATGAATTGGAATGACCTCAGTTGGTGTTTTAAAATTTGACCTTAGGAGTTATCCCTCGGAATGAATAGAGAGAGGGTGTACATGAACTGCCAGGCTTTTCCAGTTCCTGACATGATTCTAGTTGGGACGAAAAGACCAGACATTCCATTTTCAAAACCAATTTTCAGCCCTAGCCGTCAAAATCCTTACCCGTTTTAAAGTTAGCTTTTGTTTTGAGGCGAAATTAATTATTTAGTTATTTAGAAATTAGTGCAGAAGGTGAGAGTTCGTGAAAATTGTCCCAAGATACAGCTTGAATGACATAATACTTGTCTTTCTCTTTTATCCATGTGAGGTTGAAAACAACAATTACATTTATTTCCTCTCTTGGTTCCTCGAAAACCACACCCGATTTAGACCATAGTATAATGCTCAAAAGTCTCTCCTCATTTTCAGACAAGAGCGATTCCAGCAAAACCGTACCGTTTGGAGTGATACATACCTATATAGCGTATTGAGGAGAATATCTGCCTTGCCCACAAGGAAATGGTCGGCCAAATTTGAGGCATTCTCTTCGCTTTTGGGATAATTTTTTTAAAAGAGATTATTGTGTTTTTCTCTAATGACAACTAGTGAAAATTACCAGACTCTAAACGTCATGTTTCTGAATGTAAAAGGATAATTAGGCAAACAAGTGAAATATTGTTACTCACCAACAACGTATTTGTTCATGGTAAGCGAGAGGTTGATGTTTGTCAGGTTATAGTTCGGCATAAGGCGGAATCCAGATGGAACAAAAGACTGGCCGTCCGTTCCAGAGACTTCCCACTTATAACGAATATGTTCTGCACTATAGCCATCTTGGAGAACAAAAATAATGCAAAGGGTCTGCATAGGACAACTTTTATTATTTGTTTGTCTCTGTACCTGATATATCTCTCTATAAATTCGTTTGTTTGCGTTCTTTCTTTCGATCCATCTACCTATATTTAGGCGTGTCCCGGCCTATCTCAGTCTGTCCGTTCTTAAGCGTGTCTATCAGTCAGCAGGTATGGCTGACCCCGTCAATCAGATGTCAAAAATCAAAAGTCTGGGAGTCAGATGGTCAGTAAGTATGTCTGTCAGTCAGACGGTTATTCATTCAGTTGGCCAGCCAGCAGGTTAACCTGTCAGACACTTCGTCAGCCAGTCTGTTAACTTGTCAGTCATTTACCCAGTGAGTAAGTCAGTCAGTCAATCAAAAGTGTATCAACTTGTAAATCAGTATATCCGTCAACACATCAGCATCTCTGTCAGTCAACCAGTCGTTCAGTCAGTCACAAAGTTGGTAAACAATTTAGGAATTCGCAAGCAATTATTCATGGACAGTTCCCCAAAAAATTAAATCCTCCTGTCTGTCACCGTCGTATTTTAACTATGCGTATAAAGCCAACTTAACTTACAGCTTTCCAGCACCAGCGGGCAAACTTGACTGTCCATTGGGAACTTTCGCAAATCAATGAGACAAGCTGCTTTGATGGTTGTCCTGTTCAATAATAAAAAATTACCAACCGTTAATATTTCGAATAAAAAAATAAATCCTTGTCTCTCCGAAGATTGTTGTAAGACTTTCTCATTTCGTGGTCTGATGATCTAGCACCGACCGAGAAAGCGTCAGATCCAGACTTGGATCTCTGAAATTTTGAAATTCGAGTCCTCACATCAGACTCGAAATGTTCGTTCTTTCACGCCCGTTATTTAGTCCCTTACATTTTTTCGACTCGAAGAGCTCATTGACAAATATAACTTTCTTCCTTTCTGTAATGCAAGTTTGTTCCAGACATTTAGTTATTACAACAACTTCACATCGTCTTCACTAATAGAACGCTAGCAACAGACAGATTTGACTAAAGTACCTTGCATTGTATTTTATCACTCCTCCAGGACCTAACGTAAGCATCATATTAGGAGTCGTTACTCGGTGCATGCGGCCAGTTTTCGCGTTCACAAAATATGAGTCTGGGATCCAGATCTTTTTCATGGCCCAACGGCTGCTGAGTGTGATGGTGTGATTCAGACCGTGGTCCAGTCTCTTGTCGGTCCATTGTTGTCGAAGAAATATGTCGATTGTGAAATCCTTATGGGGAAAGGAAGAAAATTCAAACTCAGCAGTTGCAAAGAACTTGATAAGAAGCGAAGATTGCGATCGAATGTCGCCACTTTTTGACGTGAGCACATTTCGCGACTTTTATGCCAAACGTGACGACTTGGTCTTTGAGCTTTTTCCTTAGGCATAAGCGAGGGCTGTTTTCCGTCATGTTGAAAAGCCATGGAATACATTCAATCAGCCCCATTGGCTACCTATTCTAAGAAAATCGCTGCAACGGAAGGTCGGTGAATTTAATCGCCGATATATCCACGCCAGCTATTAATCAGAAAGCAAAGATAAGTGGATACAATCGCCTTTAGTCTGTGGAGCCAGTGAAAGATATCAGCCAGCTCCATGGATTGAAGTTGGGAAAAAGGATCATTTGGCCTAATGCTCTTTTAACAATGAAAACTCAATTTTTTTCTATGTTAATTGCTTTCAGATTCGTACAGCAAGAGGATTTATAAATGGATGCTAAAGAATATATTTTAACATCGGCCTCAAACTTCTTTCCAATGTAATTACGCACCATGTTGACTACATCAATTCTTTCAATTGACAAAATCCAAAACCCGACCGAAACTTCAACTGGACCTTCTGCAGAGACACAAAGATCAATAGATGTTTACATGACTTCGTGAAGAAAAGTAAAAAAGAAAAACCTCTTGGTTGCTCCTAGTCAATCACGAGCTCGGGTGGTAAAAACGTGCGCAATTGACGTTCAATTACGAACAAACCTTAGACAAATTTAGCTCCTAATTTCGGAACCGGTCAGTATGTGTCACCGGGGGTGAGTGGGTGAGACGGGAGATTTTGGTTCTTTCACGATAAAATTTACCTGGTCCTCCCAAATGGCTCAGTAATATTCTTATGATCTCCTTCATTGACAGTTTTTGGCGGTCAATTTTCTATAGTTACCCTTTATACTCTGTTGACGACGACTGATTGCCACTCCGTTCCCCATGAAAAGCATGTGTCTCCTCCAACTCCACCCCCTCCCTCCGTCGGTGATAAATTTTGACTGACAACTTATAAGTTAAGATCTCACCGCCGTAATTTGGTCGAAGTCGGCCATCGTACCGAGTGCAATCCAGAAGCCTTGTCAGCAATTCTGAGATTTCCTTTCCTTTTGGCTCCTGTTTCCTGGAAGAAAGAATTTTCACTTAGTCGTAGTAGCAAATGTAGTGAATTGAATGTTAGTGGTGGGGCTACGGACCTTTCAACAATGCAATTAAATGTAATAAGATCGACATTCACCGTGGCTAAAAAAAGGGAATAAAGTCTACGGGTCCACGGAATACGTTTACTTGTTTAAGAATAGTGGACAATCTTTCATTTCTAGTGGATTTGATAGTTTTTAATCTGTGACAGTCTTCTTAACTCTTTACACCCCAACATCAACATGTATCTTGTCCATCCTTCTGCTCTTCGCACACTTTCCATGGCATTGGCAGGGAGGATTTGGTGAAAAAATGGAGAATTTTTTAGAGTTTTGCTAACATTTACTTAAATTACATGAACCTAATGTCACAATTTTGATTCAGCAGAGCTATATTAGTAAGAAATTAGATGCTAGTCACCCGTAGAGGTCAAATTTTGATTCGGCATAGCTATAGCAGTTAGAAATTGGATACTAGTCACCCTTAGAGATCAAATTCTGATTCGGCAGAGCTATGCAAGTGAGCAATTGGATACTATAGTCACCCTCAGGACTGATAAGGATTCAGCTATAATTTAACCCTCCATTCTTAATCTCTGGTTTTATACTGGACGAAATTCAAAACCCGACCGAGACTTCAACTGGACCTTCTGCAGAGACACAAAGATCAGCAGATTTTAACATGACTTCGTGAAGAGAAGTGAAAAAGAAAAAATTTTGGTTGCTCATTTTGGGGCCCGGTAAGATGTACAGTGAAGCGAAAGAGTAAGAGATATGATTGAAGGTGCTACTCTGAATTGTCATGAACTTTATATGTATTTTTATTTTCAATCCATCGGTGTAGCTCTCCGATGGAATAGTATGCCTTAACATGAGAAACATTTGCTTCGTTGCTGCACCTTTCCTTGAATAAACTGGAACTGAACGACAGCATTAAAAATTTATTCGAAATGTTTACTCCGCCGTTAGCCATGTAATGGAGCTCTAGAGAAACACAGGTTTCGGTTGAAATCGGAGGATTGCCTTTCCCTGTATTTCAACGTTATT